AATACTGCTGTCATCAACACTGAAAATTAAATGCACAATAAAGAGAGAATTTACACACAGAAGGCATTTTTCTAACATTTTAAACCTTCATTTAACAAAATAAAGGTGTTGTCATTTACTTGTATTGGTATAATTGTAATTCTTATGAAATTATGCAAAGATTTGGCCCTGTTTACTGTTTATCATTCCTAGGTAACATTTATTTTTATTAAGGAATGATCTCTACATTTGTCATAGTTGTTGCTCTTTTCCTAAATTAAATTGTGTTGTGTACTGTCTGCATCTGCTTTTACTGGCTGATGATCAGGAAGGGTGCAGTTAGTTTTCTGGTTGTTCTTTACATTTCGTTGACGGTGCCGCTCTGTATTTTTTGGACTATAAGTCACACCAGCCAAAAAATGTGTAATGAAGAAGAAAAAAAACATATAAGTCACACTTTTGGGGGGAAATTTATTTGATAAAATCAGAGACCAGGAACCGACATTTCATCTTAAAAGTCAAGTTCTAGTAAAAACAATAGAACAGAGAACAACAGACTGTTAACGTCACATATGAACAGTTCTTCAGATAAACTATAACATAAACAACAGAACAGAACAAGTTTACCAAACTCTCCATCTCACTCCAAATCACTAAATTCATTCAATTCTTCATCCTCAGTGTCACTTCTGCGTATCTCCACGACCTCTAGAGATAAACAGAGCGCCGCTTCCTCTTCTGTGTAGCTGGCGTCAGACTCAGCATCAGTTCCAGTTAGAATTATTTGGGCCTTTCTGAATCCCGACAGGATGGTTTCGGTGTCACTGAAGTCCAGGCTTTATCCATCCATCCATTGACTTCCAGAAAGTTGCATGGTGCACCTTCCCGGTGTCACAAGTTTCTCGCTCACTCCAAACTCTCTTTTTTCTGCTCGATTACCGTTTTCAGCTGTAGATTTTGCTACTTGCAGCTTGTAACCTGCAAAATATGATTTGCTTTTCAGTCTTCTCAGTCATCTTTATAAGTTTGTTTAAATTTTCAATTTTCAGTGGTACAGAAGTAATGGTGCGATCGAATCGACTGACATGATACAGACAGGACAGAGGCTCTTTCTGCAGGAGACATGCGCAGTAGAGCCAAGTTACAGTGGTACAGGAGGAACAGGAGCAGCAGATACTAACACACAGCGCCCTCTCGAGGCTGTCAGTGTGAACATTTTAATATATAAATCCCACTGGAGCATAAGTTGCAGCACCACCCAAACCATGAAAAAAAGTGTGACTTATAGTCCCAAAAATACAGTCATTTGGATGATCTGAACACATAAGTTTTGACAAATCACTTTGAACCACTGCAGACAGTTTCAAAATGAACTAGTCCTGTTTTCCGTGTTTTAAGACAGTAAAAATCTGGTCGGCTTCAAACCAGAAACACCTGCAAGATTTTCAGTGAAATCTTCAATATGACCTTTTACTGAAATGAGTACTCTAACCTGTCATATGCACTTTAAGCACTGAAGTGAGCATTGAATCATTATTCTGTGTGCTTGACCAGCGAGCAGAGCATTTTGAAGGCAGGTGAGGTGGCGTTCCCTCGTGGTCGGTTTAAGCGGAGATGTGTGAAATGGTATTGATTGAAGGAAGACAGTTCGCTTGGAAGGATATGACCTTTTGGGGCTTTCTTGTCTAACACATAATATTGTTGGTATTCCTCACAGCCTTAGGTTAAATCCGATGTATGTATCCGATGTTGATGCCGTCTGAATTCTCTGCTGTGGCTGTGTGGTCTCGTGGCTCATTTCCAGTGTTTTGATCATACGCACTACGTCAAGTCGTGTTGATATAGAGAAGCCAACGAAATGTAGTCGTGTAGGGAGCGCTGAAGCGTACTGTGGAGGCTGCGTTTATGAGAGACGCCATGTAATGGATGTGAGCTTTGGCGGGGAAGGAAGCACCATCATCTATGCAAGTGAGTGCAAGAAAACAGAACATTTGTCATTAAATATATTTTGTTTCGGCTAATGCAGGCGGCTCTGAGACTGTGTCTGTGCAAGGACTTAATTTGTTTTCCTGCGTTTACATTTGGCTTGAAGAAAAAAGTGAAAGCTGAAGAGAAGCTGTATTACTAACTGAAATGCAGTAGTTTTTTTTTTATTTAATTTTATTTTTTTTATCAAATATTAAGCCACAATCTTGTCTTGTTGTGGACCTAATCTCATCTCTTGCTTACGTGAAGTGTGTCTTGTCCTACTCTTAACTGCAATACCACGTTGTTGACATGAGCATGAGGATTAAGATAGCTAGAAACTATCTTGATTCTAGGCTTCTGGGCTTTAAGTGTAAGCAAGTGATTTGAAAACAAAAGTACAAATTTATTCTGTAAAATGGCCAAAACTGGACGCCTCAGTCGGGAAGTGTTCTGAGCATGTTCCACCGGAAGGAGGCCCCGAGGAAGACCCAGGACACGCTGGAGGGACTATATCTCTGGGCTGGCCTGGGAACACCTTGGGGTCCCCCCCCGGAGGAGCTGGAGGAAGTGTCCAGGGTGAAGGAAGTCTGGGAGTCCCTGCTTAGACTGCTGATAAGTGAAAGAAAATGGATGGAATGGCCAAAACTTTTGTCCAGTTGACAGAATATAATTTTATAAGTGGAGCGACTGAATTGAGTTCATCGCTAACTTTGAAAAAATGTATTGTTTTGATTGTCTGTGCTCTTCTCTGCTTGTGTAGGTTAGCAATTTAAAGGTTGTTACAAACAAAAAACAACTAAATATTTTGTCTGTGTGTGGTGTCCAAGGTCAGACATGTCAAACTCAGGCCCAGTAGTCAAATAATGCCCATGATATGATTATATTTGGCCCGCGAGATCATATCAAACATATATTAGAGCTGTCCCGCCGGCTACAGATAGACTATAGAGACATAATTCATTTAAAATTTAGTTATTATTTCATATTATGCTTGTTCTGGATTTGATTTTTAAGCAAAACTATTATTCAACATTTATTTGAAATGGTTCTAACATTACATATCTCGAAAGAGGAGAAAACATGCAGATGTTATTGTAATTTTTCAATAAATATTTCGTTTGGTCCATAACTTAGTCCCAGTAATTTTAATAAATCCTTCTGTGAATTTGAGTTTGACACCTCTGCCCTAGGTCCTTCCTGTGGCTGGTTAAGATTAGGTCTAAATCTGAAATGGTTAAGGTTAGGAACAGGATGAGCTTGTCTTCAGTTTAAAATAATGTCAGCTTTTATAATGTTACATTGAATTGGTTTTGGCGGTCTTTGGCATGGCCGCTTTTTGTTTACTGATTGAGGAAGCGTGCCTATGTTCCCTCATTTCTATTTTTTTTTCCTTTCCAAAATTAGGCCCTACGTTCCCACATTTCCTTTATCATCAATTTGCATCAGAATTTATCCCCATTCCTCCCAATTTGGCCGTTAATTAAACCCAACCATCCAGCAGCAGTTGTAATGAAGAGGTCATGGTGCAAAGGACGCTAGGTTGAAATGACTCTGAATCATCCCTTTAAATGTGATAAAAACATAAAAATGACTTGACTTAGAGTTTTATTTTGAGAAAAATCTTTGAAATAAGGGAACATAGAGCTGACCACCGTATTGATTCTTTGCAGTGACATCACGCTGGAGGTGTGCTACGTATCTTTATTGGTGCAATGTTCAGAAGTTACCGCGCACACATGAGCAATAACTACTACTACTAAGTTAATTCGAGTAAGTTAATTCAAGAAAAACACAAAATGGATTTTTTCAAGAGCCCGTGATCAATAAAAGCGTTCATGGTCCTGTGTAGGTGTTTGATTTTCAATAAAAAGGTCAATCAGTAATAAAAAATGGAAGAAAAACAAACAAACGAGTAATGAATTGGAAAAACCGTCTAGCTCGTGACGGTAATGTTATCTGAGAGCAACTTGTTTGAGAGCACAAATCAGCTCTCCTGTTGCAGTTCCAGTCCGTTTGTTTTAAAGTAAAGCTCAAACTAAAGTCTAATTTGAGTCAAAAGCTTCAGATTACTGCTTCTAGTCAACGCCACACCTCCAGAGAACGTTGACGTCGTGCCTGCAAAGCATCAATGGGGACCTGCGGACGGATTCGAGCCACGTGACGCTCCTCCTCGCGGAAGTCTGGGTCCTCCGGGTGAAGATCCTTCCCCGCTTTATAGCCCCACGTCCCCGCTCCGAACCAAAACCCTCCCGTGGCGCCGGCGAGTACGAGCGCTCCACACTCCCTGCTAGACCATTCCCGACACGTTTGTATTTCATTACGCCGGCTGTTTGCTCCACTTTGGCTTTACTTTAGCGGTGTACTGGCTGAGCTCCTGTTTCGACTGTGCCCGAGGATACCGTTTCTCGTGCACTGTGTTTGTTTGCCCTTTTGCTTAGAGCTGTTGACAATACCAAATACCTCACGTAGCTGTTTCTGAGTAACGGTAACAGTAAGCTTTGGCCGTGCTTGGCTTCGGAGGTTTTTTTCTTTTTTTTTTTTTTTCCCCGTAGCGCTGTTCTCTATTGCTGTGACCCTGTTTTTGCGTGAGACCTTGGCGATCTTCTGTTATTCTGGTTCGAGTACAGTGCCGAGCAGATACTGAGATTTCAATACTGAGAGTCTATTCTGCCAAACAGTTCTTTGTGTGTTCCATAAGTACTCCAGTGGAAAAAAAAGCATTTGTGTGAGCAATAGCCATCGGCGGTTGCACCAAATTGAAAATGCTTTTTTTTCTAAACCCCCCCACACACCTCACTCAAGAAGTGTTTGCTTGTTTTCTGTTCCTATTCTATCTCTTTATCTCTCTTTCTTTCTGTCTATCTCTGTCTCTCTCTTCTTTTTTTACGTTTGATTTGATCTCTTGACATCCGAAATCCGCCCCGGGATGTCTGTCACAAACTGCAGTCCAACGTTGTGACAATGCTTTTTTTCAGTCCCGTTGCCTTTTATGACCTTCTTTTTTCTTCTCCTCTTTCTGTTTCCCTCCTTTTTTCTGTTTTTTCCCTCTCAAGGTCTGGCGCACCTGACGTTAAACGACCAAGGTATGGGTTCATTCCTTTTTTTTTTTTTTTGTTTTTTTTGTTTTCCTTTTTTCTTTCTTTCTTGAGTTGAGTTTTTTTTTTAAAGAGGAATTGACTCTTCGACCCCTCTCTGAAGCCGCTCTCCCAGATCTCCCTCTCTGCTTCTCGGCTTCCCTCCGTGCCTCATCCCTCCATCTTTTCCCCCAAATCCTTCTTTGTCTTTTAATCCTCTCCAGCATCCATCCCAAATCCCTGTGCACTTCGCCCCGTGCTGAGTCTCTTTTAAGAATGAAATGTGAAAACGCAGAAGTTGTCCCAATTAACTGCTCAAATATTTGTATTATCTCTGTCATCCGGTTTCATCCAAATCTTGCATTGGAGTAATAATCATTAGCAGAATCCTGTACGGTTTTGTGTTGACTTTATTTTGTAGAATGCTGAAAAATGCTGTTTGTAGACAAATACAGTTTTGAATGCCTTTAAGCTTGTAAATAGTAAAATCAATCAAACAACAGCAAGGGGTAAAATCTAGTCAAGTGGTTCTCAAACATTTCACACCAAATACCAAATAAGAAAAAAATGTGGCTTTTAAAGAACCACCAGATCTAAACTAGGGCTATTCTAGGTCTAATTTAGGGCTAAACCAGGTCTAAAACTGTACTCAGTATTTTAGAAATTAACCAAAGGATCTTTACAGTCACAATTCACGCAACTGTACCTAATTTCTTCCATGTAGGCTCATAATTAAATCTTAAAGTCAAAATAATCCGCCGTATAGTTCGGACTATAATGCACACTGGATTATAAGGCGCAATATCAATAATGTTGAATTCTCTCGTCTGGTTTCATACATAAGGTGCACCGGATTATAAAACGGATTAAGCAAAACAAACGGACGACACTTGAGTCTGATCCCTTAGCCCAGGCGTCCGCAATCCATTGGCAGATCATGGCGTAATTCGCCCAGCGTTGCCTCCCTGTCTTGGTGAATGTGGGTGGATAATTTAAGTTGTTTTGGTTTTTTTTTATTTCCTACGAGGAGGACTCAAATACACATTGAGTAATAATGTGTTTCATGCAGATTTGCGCACATTTGTTTATGTTTTACAGAAACAAAACTTAAAATCACATGGCAAATTTGCATAAACTATAAGCTCTGAAAAAAAACAGCTCACACCTTGTGTGCCGATGCAATTCAGCTTACGGAGGACTAAAGGATATATGAAATATGAGTGTTCTTTCTGCGACAACGCGACAACGGCAATGTGCCTTGAGTCGACGCAGAACTATACTTTACCCTTTAACTCCGCGAGGCTCCTGACTACAGACTACAGCCGTAATGCTCCGACAAACCATCAAGCGGTGCGGCTTTGTAGTTTACCAAAGTCGTACTAAAACATTTTGACAGATTTTGAGCACCGTGTACCACATAAAATCGGTTCGAGGTCAGTAAGCACAACCAGAATTAAGACATAAGGTGCACCGGATTATAACACGCACTGTCAATATTTGAGAAAATTAAAGGATTTTAAGTGTGCCTTATAGTCCGAAAAATACAATAATTCAAATTTATTTGGGGGCATTTTTACCAGGAAATAATGCTTGTGCACTGTTAGCATGCTAGTTGTTCATTACGTTGCTTAAAGCACTTAAAATCTCATATCTCAGTGAATAATTAGGAAGTTAGGGATGCCTTAGAAGAAACTTTGGACCATTTTAAACCATTAAAAAATGTTAAGGCTATAGTTATATCCTTTTCTATTAACTTTGATAACTTAGAAATAAATAATTATAACTTTAAAAAGAATGATATTTAAAGAATGAAATTAAACCAATAAAAATAGAAAGCACTGATTCGAAATTCTACATATTTAAGACTTTTTATTCCACTAAATCTTCAAACATCATCACATTTCTTTTTTAAAACGGACTCTCCAAAGAGCGAACCCCACACGGACTCACGATCCAAATCCAGCCCTTCCCTGTTCCCATCTCCCCATCTGCCTTGCTCCTCCCCTCCCTCCATACCTCCGTGACCCCTCCATGACCCCTCCATGCCCCCTCCGTGACCCCCCCCTTTGTCCTGTCCTCTGGCTCACGTCCTGGACCTCCACCTCCTCACCTCCGCCGCAAACCTTTGACCTGAAGGTAACACTCTCTCTCCCCCTCCCCTCCTCCCCCCTTGCTGCTTTGGGTTTCTCAATGCAATGCAACGAGAAAAAAGAAAAAAAAAAAAAAAGTGTTTCTTGCAAATCTGTGTAAATATGTTCCAACTTCCATTCACCAACACACTTCAAGGTTTTTTGAATGTGCAGAGTTCCTCGTCACCACTCTGCGAGCATTCCCATTGTTTGGCAAGTTGTGTGTTTTTAGATTCTAATATACTGGAAATGTTCTGCTTCTTTTCAATGCTGTTTTACTGTATGTATGTGTACGCTTGCATTTGACACCGCAGATTGCACAAAAACATCCACCCACACTTCTCTTTCACTTCTCTCCCTCATGTTTCCTGACCTTCTGAAATGCCTCACAGTCTCTCAAAACTCAGACTGAAGTGCAAATCGTTATATATACATGTTTTTATTTTTATTTATTTATTTATTTATTTTATTTTTTTTCACAGAATACCGAATTGCACTCACTCAGTCCACCCCGTCTGCATTTAATATTTATTGGTCATGAACCAAGAAGTAATGCTGGTCCTCTATTATCTGGTCAGTCAGAAACACACGCTTTGGAAAAACTTTACAAAAACGAGCCGCGTCCTGACTCCCTGATTTCAGAGGACGTGACTGACAGGAGGATTAACCAATCACAGAGACACATGGTCAGTTTGCGACAAAAGTAAACAAGACTTTACAGGTAAAAAAGGGGGGAAAAGCAACATCAAGGACTTGGTTGAGGTTGAGGTTTTTCATGCTCTTTGGTTTGGTTACAACCCAGAACAGAATGTAGAAGGGACTGGATGATTAGGCAAAGGTACTCTGTGGCAGAGGTCCCCAACCCCCCGGCCGTGGACCGGTACTGGGCCATGGGTCGTTTGGGCCCCCCCCCCCATATGGACCGTGTCTTCTCACGTACACTGCATGGACGGTGCATCTAAACCAGAACTGAAACCAGGAATAAACCAGAACTAAACCAAAACTGAAATCAGGACTAAATCTGGACTAAAATAAGGTTTAAATCAGGTCTAAAACCAGAACTAAACCATAACTAAAATCAGGACTAAACCTGGACTAAAATGAGGTCTAAACCAGGTCAAAAAACAGGACTAAACCACAACTAAAATCAGGACTAAACCTGGACTAAAATGAGGTCTAAACCAGGACTAAACCACAACTAAAATCAGGTCTAAGCCTGGACTAAAATCAGGTTCAAATCAGGTCTAAAACCAGGACTAAACCACAACTAAAATCAGGACTAAACCTGGACTAAAATGAGGTCTAAACCAGGTCTAAAACCAAGACTAAACCAGAACTAAACCGCAACTACAATCAGGACTAGACCTGGACTAAAATGAGGTCTAAACCAGAACTAAACCAGGACCAAACCAGAACTAAACCACAACTAAAATCAGGACTAAGCCTGGACTAAAATGGGATCTAAACCAGAACTAAAATCAGGACTAAACCTGGACAAAATTGAGGTTTAAACCAGGTCTAAAACCAGGACTAACAAATCAGGATGTAACAAGGACTAAACCATGCTGCGCCAGTCCGTGAAAATGTGACTAAGGTTCCAGCCGGCAACTTCAGCTGGTCCACTGAGGTTCATTTGGTCTTCTGATATTTTATGTAATTAGGTTCTTTTTTCAGCAGTCGAAACTATCAGGTATGAAAATAAACTCTTGGTTTGAAAAAAGAACATAAGAATAACATAAAACTTCAGCTGATTTTATTCATTTTATTTGACAAAGATTTTACTGTGATCCCTAAAGAGATAATTACTTTTCAAAAATTTTAACCACGAGTTGTATCAAACATGTAAATAATCTTGCGTTACATCGATTACCACTGTATATTTCACCAACTGCTGATCAAAGCTGTCGTACACTCAGATGGCCGTTGTCCAAAAGCTTATTTATTTACAAAATTACATTTCGGCAAAAAAAAAAAAAAAGCCTTCAGATATCATCAGATTTTTTTTTGCTTTGGGCCACAGCACACAAAATGGTTGCCGGCCCAGGTGCCTATATACCCCTTCAATGAATGAAAGTGAGGTCACCCAGTGAGTTCAGCCCACTTTACAACAAGAAAAAACTGTTTAGATATTTACATAAAAAAAACATTCTTTAAAATACAGAAATAGTATATCACAAAAAAATATCTTAAATCAAACTCCACATTCAGTCCGTGAGGAGCGAGAGTCTTAAGTTGGTGATTCCAAAGTGTCTCTTTTTGACAGGAGCATTTCTAGATTCCCACCTCTAGGGGGCAGCTCCACACGTTCAACGCCAGTATATCTTAAAGAAGAGATAGGATGGTTAAAATCAACAAAATGAGCCGCCACAAGATTGATTTTACTCCTATGCTCTGTTACATAAAAACAAAATTGTGCTTCACGCCGCCACTACAGTTCAGTTCAACAGTTCGCGTAGTAAAAGTAATATAGAGTCCAATCAGAGTCTCTGATTTAACAACCTCAGCGCTGTTGGCAGGAAGCTGTAGAGCGTTCACGTCGTCTAATATCGTTGGCCACGGACACGCAAAGAATCAAAGTGTTGCCCTTAAAAAGTAATAATACCAATAAATAAAAAACCTTGTTAAATTTAAACGACTTCAGTCCCTGAAGTGCGATCACTAAAACGTAAAATGATATTTGGATAACCATAAACCTGTCAGTCAATTCTCCGAGCATTCCTTTTGTGTTTTTAGTAGTTTAGGATGTATCTTCTTTTCAATGCTGTTTAACTGTATATTTGTCTGCTTTCATTTGACACCTCCAGATTGCACAGAAAACATCCGCCCACACTTCTCTTTCACTTCTCTCCGTCATGTCTGCTGACCTTTTGTACCCTTCGG